AGGAGGCGGAGGTTGCGGTGAGCCGAGATCGCGCCATTGCACTCCAGCCTGGGCAACAAGAGCGAAACTCCGTCTCAAAAATAAAAATAAAAATAAATAAATAAATAAAATAAAAAATAATTTTTTTTTTTTAGGCTGGGCACAGTGGCTTATGCCTGTAATCCCAGCACTTTGGGAGGCCAAAGTGAGCGGATTACCTAAGGCCAGGAGTTCAGGCTGGCCAACATGGTGAAACCCTGTCTCTACTAAAAATGCAAAAATTAGCCAGGCACAGTGGCGGGTGCCTGTAATCCCAGCTACTCAGGAGGCTGAGACAGGAGAATAACTTGAATCCATGAGGTGGAGGTTTCAGTGAGTTGAGATTGTCCACTGCACTCCTGTCTGGGTGACAGAGCGAGACTCCGTCTCAAAAAAAAAAAAGAAAGAAAATTTTCCTTTTGAAATAAATCATACAAAGAAAAATGCACAGATCACTAGAGTTGAGCTCAACACATTTGCACATACTGAATACATCTGTGCACCCAAACCTTGGACCCAGGGACAGGACGTCCCCAGCCCCTGGGACTTCCCCCTTGGGGCACTGCCTAATAACAGCCTCTGCCCAGGTGACCGCTGTGCTGTCTGATGTCCATCAGCATCAGTGAGGGGGTTTTTTTGTGTGTTTGCTTGTTTTATTTGTTTTGTTTTGTTTTTTTAACATGGAGTCTCGCTCTGTCACCCAGGCTGGAGTGCAGTGGTGCGATCTCGGCTCACTGCAACCTCCACCTCCTGGGTTCAAGCAATTCTCCTGCCTCAGCCTCCCAAGTAGCTAGGATTACAGGTGCCTGCCACCACACTTGGCTAATTTTTGTATTTTTAGTAGAGATGGGGTTTCACCATGTTGGCCAGGCTGATCTCAAACTCCTGACCTCAAGTGATCCTCCTACCTCGGCCTCCCAAAGTGCTGGGGTTACAGGCATGAGTCACCGCGCCCCACCTCATCAGTGAGTTTTGATTGTTCTGAAACTTCATGTAAATAAGATCACACAGTTCGTCCGCTCGGTGGAGTCCAGGATTGTCAAGTTAGCCAGCGGTCTCTGAGATTCATCCACGTGGTTTCGTGGAGTGAGAGAGCAGCCCTTTTCTGTACTGTCTGTAACTGATCAGGGAGTCGATGAGACTGTGTTGATGAACTCTCCCATTAAGGGCTTCTGGATTGATTCCATTTTGAAGCGATGATGTACGAAGCTTCAGAAAACATTCTTGTCTGTGTCCTCGGGCGCAGCTGGACACATATCTCTTGGGCAAATATTAAACCTGGAGGAGCGGGATTGCTGGGTCACAGGGTAGCCCTCTGTTCAGATTTAGTAGATATTCAGATTTAGTAGCTGTCCAAGTGATTATCCCTTTTTCCTCTACCACCAGCCATGCGTGAGAGCTGGATGTGGAAAAGCTTGCAAGATCGTCGTTCCCTGTAACCTTGAACTCCTGGGCTCAAAGGATCCTCCCGCCTCAGGCTCCCGCATAGCCAGGACTACAGGTGTGTGCCACCGCATGCAGCTAACTTTGACTTTTTTTGTAGACAGGTTCTCACTATGTTGCCCAGGCCGGTCTCCAATTTCCAGCCTCAAGCAATCCTCCTGCCTCGGCCTCTCAAGTATCTGGAAGTAGCTGGGAGTGGCCAGGAGTTTGAGACCAGCCTGGGCAACATAGCAAATCCCCGTCTCTACAAAAAACTCTTTAAACTTTGCTGGGTATGGTGGCATGTAGCTGTAATCCCAGCTACTCGGGATGCTGAGGCTGGAGGATCGCTTGAGCCCAGGAGTTCAAGGTTGCAGTGAGCTATAATGGCACCGCTGAACTCCAGCCTGGGCAACAGAGGAAGACCCCATCTCAAAAACAAAAACAAAAATGACTTGGGCAGATCCTGTCTATTTCAAAGATCTAAGTTCGTTGAAATAACGTTGCCCTTTCCTGTTCTGTGAGATTTGAGAAAATATCTATAAAACCACCTGGGCCTGTTGCCTTAAAACATGTTTTTAAATTATTATTTTAATTTTGAAATTATTATTATTTTTGAGGTGGAGTCTTGCTCTGTTGCCCAGGCTGGAGTGCAGTGGCACAATCTCGGCTCACTGCAAACTCTGCCTCCCGGGTTCAAGTGAGTCTCCTGCCTCAGACTTCCAAGTAGCTGGGATGACAGGCGCCAGCCACCACGCCAAGCTAATTTTTGTATTTTTAGTAGAGATGGGGTTTCATGGTGTTGACCAGGCTGGTCTTGAACTCCTGACCTTATGATCCGCCCACCTCAGCCTCTTAAAGTGCTGGGATGACAAGTGTGAGCCACCGCGCCTGGCCGAAATTATTATTATTTTTTAGAGACAGAGTCTCCCTCTGTTGCCCAAGCTAGAGTGCAGTGGCTCAAAGCTCACTGCAACCTTGAACTTCATTGCCTTAAAACATTTTTTCTTTTTAGAGATGGGGTCTTGCTGTGTTGCCCAGGCTGGTCTTGAACTGCTGGGTTCAAGCAATCCTCCCTCCTCAGCCTCCCAAAGTGCTGGGATGACAAGTCTGAGCCACCGTGCCTGGCCCACTTTATTGCCTTTTTAATGGTGGGTCCGGAGTCACTTTTCTGATCTTCTATGGTTGTGGGTCTACCTAAGCTTTCTACATCTTCTGAGGTCAGCTTGGCTCAGTGACTGACACAAGTTGATGCTTAATAAATGCTAAATATGGGGGTGCGACCAAAGGGATAGGAACGGGCTGGACTTTTAGTGTCAAATGTCCACCTCCCTCTCCTTTTGCTCAGGCTCCCGTTCAGCCTCTGCATCTACATCCAACTACATGCCTCCTCCCCCAAGAAGCTCTCCTGGGTTTCTTCTTCTGTTCTTTCTTCCCTGCCCCATTCCTTGGTCCATAGGTCTACCTCTCTTCCTCTGCGCTGGGCAGACACCACAGCTCTCTGCCTTCTGGCCGGACAAAGCGGGAAGAGTTTATATGTGCAGAAGAGGCCTTCCCCAAACCTCAGCTTCCCCCCTCGTGCCTGGCACATTCAGCCTGCTCCGCCACCTCCCCCAGCAGTTCCGATCACACCAACATCTGGAGAATGGGCCACCAGGGTCTGTCTGCGGCTCCGGCAGGGATTTGCATGTGACTACAAATATACATGCACGCCCTGGGCCTGCCGCCTCCGCGTTCTTTGCCTGGCCCTTCACACCTGGGGCCGAGACAGGTCAACGCTGGGTGGCTGAATTTGCATGCGCATGTA